CTGATTACCTTTTCCATTTCCACCGCCCACCACTTTACCACTCGTTGCACCACATTTCCACTCTACAATACGATGATTGCCATAGTCAGCGACCAAGACAGTTTGATCATCATCCATAAAGAGACCATGAGGAAGGCAAAGTTGGTTGAATGCGTTGCCACGACCATAGCCTCCAGCGATGGTGACAGCATTGCGTGTCCATCTAGCATTGACGGGAATATTTGGAAGAGCTATAACGAAAGAAAGAAAGAAGATAATGCTCCCGATTGTCAACGATCTAGGTCGATTGGAGGAGCAACCGAACACAAGAAGGAGTTGCTACCATTTCAGGCACAACTGACTGACCGTTTTCTTCTTTGTTCGATGAATTTGATCGAAGTTTGGAGTTGTACTCGATGAGCACTCGGTCGATTCAGAACTCTCCATTATTGTCACACTCAATCGGATCAGTGATTATTTTCGAGAGTTTCTTTTTGACTTGTTCGGAAACAGCATTAGATTTTGCTCCTCATCGATAGTTTACACTCGTCTAGAACGCTTTTGAGCGGATCACAAACGAATAAATGTTTTGTACAGAAACGTCCGACCTACTCGTTATTACGATTCATCGCTTCGATTTTAGTCCATTTCTAAGTTCTTAATCGATTACTTTGCATGGATTCCATTCGAAGGACACATCGGTTGATAGAACTCAACAAACGCAACTGAATGATGACAAATCGATTCATTTCTAACAGAGTACAGTGTGAATGCCTGTTAAAAAGATTCAGAGATATTCGTTTCTTGACAAATGCCAATCTAACTGGAATTTCGTGAGAATAGTGAAATTGATTTGAACGAAGTAAAGTGTCAGGGAAATGTTTTCCATTCGAACCTGTTGAGACGTATCCTCTAATTCTAGAAGTCATGTTCTCTAAAATCTAAATATACTCGTCCAGAATCTAGAATTCTCAAAAGTTATCCACGTAACGATCCGCCTTTGCAAGAAAAATTGAACCACAAAAAGAAACACAGTGAATACGACCATGTTGTAGAGCACGGTCGATGGCTTAGAAAAACGTAGTTTTTATTTGAATAGCTTCGTATATTTTAGAATATAAATGCTGTCAAACAAGTATCACTCTGAATCGGTGAAAATTAATATTTAGCATGAGTCTTTATTTTGGAACTTTTAATACGAACAAATATTTTTTTTTCAAAACCAATCTCATGTTCTAAAACTGCCTCGGTTAAGTATCCTAGCTACAGCAAAAGATCGAAATTCTCTCGCTCCTTGAGAAAGTTATTTGTATTCGAAAAGTAGTCCATTTATGATGGTGATTCTGTCACGAAAATACCCTGTAACTCATTTTTTAACCAAAAGCAAGGTATTTCGGATTCGATGAACGAGCGCTCTATTCAAAGAACTGATTGGGTTTTAATGAGCAACCTCTACTTCGTTAGAATGAGCGTGATGGAACCACTATCGAAGCCACTAAGTATGCTTTTTGCCAAAAAATCAGAAACATTGTTTGCTCTTATATTGTACGGAAGACATATTCTTACATGACTGATATGTTTAAGAAAAACATATTCTTAGATAGGCAAAAAGAGGGTGTGGGTGTGGGTATGAGGATGTGGGTGTGGATGTGGATGTGGGTGTGGGATGTGGGTGTGGGGTGGGGTCACAGTGGACAGCCAGGCGACAAAATCAGTTTTCGAGATTTAGACAAATATCATAGCTAGCATTGGAGCTGTTATCCTCCTGCATTTAACTGCATCCCGGATAATGATTGAAAGCAAGTGTCTGTTAAGTTGCAGGCACCATAAGGTACATAAAATAGGTAAATATCACTTATAGGACCATATAAGTAAAACGTATGTTTTAAATTGAGAATCTAGTTATATTCATCCGTTATTATATAGTTATACAGTGTTATACATTTACTATATATTGAAGGCCGTTCAGTCTTCTTGAAGTTCTTTGGGCTATAATAAGATCAGAATCTTACAATCAGTATAGTGAAAAAAGGCACTGCTCCACAATGCAGTTTGTTCGCCGGATTTCGTCGGAGCTTTAATTCAAGTTTTAATTTGTTATTCGATAGAGCAAGTCATCATCTATTTTCAGTGGATGCCCAAAGATGCCCGCTTAAACTCTTGTTGAGATATTTGATTTTTTTACGGCGTCATGTGACATAACGCCGTGGTCCCCTCAGGTTCACTTGAAAAATCAACTTTCGAATTTCGACTTGTAACTTTGCACAGAGAGAGGTCTCAATAAAACTAGTTAATTCTGAAAGTTTCAAATTTCTTGGTTGCTCCTATCCTTAAATATAAACACTTAACATTTTGTGCTATAATGATATGAAAAAGAGTATTTTTTCTTGTAGTTGTATCTCGGGATCGAAGGAACCTAAAGATCTCAAACTTTCAGAATAAACCAGTCTCATCAAGACCTTTTTCTATGCAAAGTTTCCAGTCGAAATTCGAAAATTGATTTATCAAGTGAACCTGAGGGGTACCACGGCTTTTTGCCAAAAAATGCGATAAAATTAAATATCTCGATAGAAATAAGCTATAAGCACGAACTCTTTTCAGTATGTTCCTAGCTCATTAAGGCCTACATAATGGACACAGTCTTGATTCAAAAGCGATTTGGCTACTGGAAATTGCTCCTGACTCCCTTTTTCTGTCCACTGTGGGGGTGTGGGTGTCAATGATGGAGATATCTACACCCCACACCCCATACAATGGGCTATTTAATTTCAGTCTGAATTTATCAAATAAAAATAATACTTGATTTCAAACTGAAACGTGAGTCTAGGAGTGAGGGGGGGAGTGACTGAGGGTGTGGGTGTTGGTCTGGGACCCACACACACACCCACACCCATGGTGCGGGTGTGGGCGCGCGAGTGAGGGTGAGGGTGTGCTTGTGGCTTTGTGTACTATAGGCTTTAGTCCCCTGCACAGGGGACTAAGCGGGGACTAAGCTTTTTGTGGGGGGGGGGGGGTGGGGGGTGGGGGGGGGCGGTGCGGGGGGGGGGGGGGGTGGGGTNTTAGAACAAGCCATTGACAGTCTCACAAAAGAAGATTTTAAAAACTGTTGTGAAGACTGGTTTATTCGAATGCATAAGTGCATTGATGCTAATGGACAGTACTTTGAAAAAATAAATTAAAATCCTCCTCTGAATATTTATCCTAAAGGCGTATGAAAAAACTTTTGTAGTGCCCCACGTATATTTTAAAAACATTTATATACCAAAATGTAGGGCGTCTTCCCCTCTCTCCATTTATATGGTTTCAATCGTTTTTTGAGGCTATATGGAGACAATAATTTAATCTACAAACTCGTCCAAAAAAAATTGTCCAGGGAAAGTTGAGTCATCCAACTTGTTATACGTTCATTTTCACTATAACACAATCTGGTGAGCTAAAATTTTCTGTGAATATAGTATAGACGATGCCTGTAAATTTGGATGCAAGCCGCACGTCAAAAGACCATATTATAAGGGAGTTATACTCAAAACAAAATTGTCCAAAAAATATTGTCCAGGATTATAGAAGCTCAGTAAAATGAGTTTTGCTTATTACAGTTTTATATAGAACTACGATACTTCTCAATAGACAGAATTGATTGCTTCATACTTTGGCATATTTTTCTTTCCCATATAATTTCAAAAGTAACAGGACAAAGTTTGCCTGGCAAACTAGCCGAAAAACTCATGCTTTTAGAGCTTCTATTTGACTCACTAAAATTCCTTCAAAACCTGCTTTTTTGGGATAACGAACGAAAGATATCTTGCCAGAAAATATCTCGACAATAAGCTGATGACAATATCTTGTGGAACGATGATTAGTATCCCCATACAAGCAGTCTTCAATACAATCGAATTTCATCCGCAAAAATTGGATAACCGGATTATCGAAAATCGTTGAGTTTTAGCATCTGATTTTGTCAGAAGATGTCAGGTTCAATAGTAGGTTTCGAACGTTCGAAAACACTGAAAAGCTCTTCTATTCAATGAAATTCTATCGGCTACATTTTATCTGATACATATGATTTGCGTATTAGCCATGTGCTCGATGTTAATCGCCTATTTCGATGTACTCACCGAAGGAATCAATTTCGTTTCTGATGGCGAGGGCTTTTCTGTGGTATTGAATACTCGCATCCAAGGCACCTTTTTGCGAGGCAATCGTACCCAAATTCTCATATATAGCACTTAGCGAAGAATCATTCGACGGAAGTTCGTTCAGCGCGCGAAGATAGTATTTTTCGGCCAGATCAAACCTGCCCATTTTCCATAAAAAGTTTCCCAATGACTGAAGATTCGTTTCTCCAATTCCATTTTGATTTCTCAAGTATTTAAGGACTGGCTGTAAACTATTTTCATCGTCACCACATAATCTCATTTGAATAGTCCACACGTGGTTGTCATCTGGAGTAATATTAGTAACGTGGAAAATAGAACCAACCATGAAGAGTACCTCTAATTCATTGGAGAAGTTACTGTAAGAACTGATATCAGCAAAAGGTTTCGTAGTGACCACTGATGGATCAGCATCGATCTCAAATAACACTCTCTTTAAGTTATCCGGTACAGGTCCATCACCTGAGTATGCACGCGCTATTTGAGGATCAATGCTGGTAGAAAAAAATGCATTTATGGATATGAACTGGCCAATATGTCGTTTGAGACTGTCCAACTCATCGCTCGACATCAACTGACTACGGTACACGTGTAAGTGAGATTTTGACTGAGAGCGGAGCAATTGACGGTGAATATCGGAAATGAATGGTCGAAGAAGAAAGAGTAAATCGATATTTTGTGTACGTAATGCCTTGTTCAAGATTTTGTACAAGCATGACTCACGAGTGTACCACCACAAAGCTTTATCGGATGAATAAGTGCGCTGAAAGTCATGAATAATGGTAATCTGAACTTGATTGCCTTCGTATTCTTTCTGGAGGAGGGAGATGAGTTCGTTACTGTTTCCTCCAATGGAATTCATTCGAAGAAGGCAGTCAATTACTAGTTGAGAGTACACAAAGTGACCATTGAGTCCTGTCGTCGATAAACCTGCATCGTCATTTGCATTCAGTATATTAATTGAAAGTGGTTCTCCTAGTGCCTTCCGATCGGCTTCGATCTTATCAACGAGTTCGCCGATTCCAACACTAACAGTTTTAATCTACAATCATAATACGACAAAAGTAGGCTTCTGAAAATAGTCTTCACAGAAGAAACTGTTTTCTCACGAAATAAAAACTTTACCTAAAGGTATGGATCTATAAAAAAGTATTCTGGTTCTGTGCGAACTGAGAAGTCTTTATCCTGATTTCGGATGTCCGCTAAAAGATTATCTTTCGTAAGTCTTTTTGGTACGTTATGGCACGTATTATTCTTAATAGTTCCGAATAAAAACTGCAAAACTAAAGAAAGATTGTTTGATTGATTGCAAAGTTGATAACTTTTTAAAGTCTTACTTTGGGAAACTCATTAGTCCATTGATCATTGCTACTTTGGTCCATACAGTAAACATAGATTGATGAAACTTGTTGCAATTCGTGGATGCGCGGCACCAGCTGTCGGCCCAATTCATCACTAACGATAAGCATTAACCGATCGTCCGTTGATCTTTGCTCAATGTACTGTTGACATTCGAGTCCATCTCCAAACTTTCTGAGATGATTAATGATGCTACGCAGTTGCTGCTCTATATTTCGTCTCTTCTGATCGATGTTGTTATTAGTGTCGAGCCATATAAGACTAAATGTTTCTAGATTTTCATCTTTCATGACAACGGAAGCCATGGTAGTTGCTATGTCGAAATTGAAATTCTCCAAACAGTCGACTATTAATACGTGGCTAGGTGATACTGAATGTCTCTTGCGAACGAAAGAATAAAGCCTTGAATTGCTTTC